CATCGTTTCTCTTTTAAGGTGCCATCAGGATTATATATTTAGTTACTTAAACGCATATCGAGATATTAACATTAAAAAATCCACCATTAGGCGCAGTGGAATATTCTTTTTGTTTACGTTAGAGCATGGATCCAGATGTTCTGGTATGCGTTGGCTCTAAACTAGGCGACGAAGACGCCCACAAGATCATGTGGTAGTTACCCAATAAAAAAAAAAAAAAGCTCCTAGAATTTTATACAATGACAATATATTTAATAACCAATAATTTTGACGAATTATAACGAATTATGATCGCATATATTTAAGACAATTTTCCAATATAGCGCGGAATAATTCTCAATGTAATACGTAAAATAGATGTTCATCAAAACAAACATAATTTACAGCCAAAATTCTTTGTCTTTTTCAATCGGTGCAGAAAAAATACCAAAAAAAAAAAAAAAAATACACGTAAACAGAGTTGAAAAAAGATGACAAATCTTTTATCTAGAAATTAATTTATTCGCAGTTCACGGGTTCTTGTGCAAAAACCAAATAGGAACTGATCTAATCTTTAAATCGGGTGCAATTCCGAATTTGTTTATACAATGAACAAATGAAAAAAACGTGATTATTACAAAGAAATCTTCTTTATACGTAATTAGGCGTATTATTAGACAAATTTCAGAAAAAAAAAAAAAAAAAAAAACAAAAAAAAAAAGAATAAAAATAAAAAAAATAAAAAAAAAATTTTTTTTATTTAATTTTTTTTTTTTTTTTTTTTTTTTTTTTACAAAATAAAGTTTCCAATGATATGATTTTATAAGACTTTAAACCAAAGGGGCAAATCTTTCAAAAAATACGATCACTACCTAAATAATAGAAATTTCCATGATTCTGTGAGCAATCACAAAATGTCAATAGAAGCATATCTGATATATTTACTAAATTTATCTAACATAACGCATGCAGCTTGTCTAAGATTAATGAACGTGCACTTACGTGTATAGTTTGTAATAACAAATATAATTAATTCCAGTTAAAGTATTTCAAAACGTTTCATTAAATTTACAAGTCGGATGAAACGAATGTAGAAGTAACGAATACATAAATGCATATTCAGACATTAATACCTGTAATATAGTTTTTTTATTATACAATAATCGTCAAAACGATTCATAATAAAGTATATTAATAAATATGTTGAAGAAAATCTTTTTTTTTTTTTTATGCATGAGTGACATTAAATGTGATCATACACTTAAATGATTGGAGGTAAATCCCGAGGGTCCATGGTTTGAAAAAAGATATAAGGTTTCGGAATTGAAGCAATTCGCAATTGATATTGTAAAGAATATATGCTATTATAAATGCTAATATATATGCTAGTATATATAGTTATAAATAATAATCACGAAGCATAATCTTAAATATATTACGTGTTTATTAAATTTCCAATAAGCAGTTAATTCTAAAATGGTGGAACAAAAAGAAAAATTAATCCATTAACGTTAATGGGAGAAATGCACCCCTATAACGAATCATTGTCTCGTTATCAGTAGACATCTATTTATTTTTAAACTTAGTAACTCATTTTTAATTTGACGCGGAAAATCGGAAAATTTGATAATCTGTTACAAATTTCGAATTCAACCAATTAACATTTTAAAAGGATTAACAATCTTTAAAAGGATAGAAAGAATTGAAATATATGCACATAGTATGTAATAAATAGTCAATAATTCTTTTTTATTTTCCTGTTATTTACCTGATATAATACGTGTGTACTTTAAAAATTGTTAGCAGGAATTTAAAAAGTAATTCGGGTACTGTATACGTAGTATACAATGGTTTTTTGAAAAAAAAAAATGGACCTAACGCTAAACAAATTAAAATTAATATAAATTATTAAATTATTTTATTGATATTGGTAATATACAATATATAGTTACGTATATTTGTAACATGATTTATTATTTATGAAAATATACGTACAATAATATTTAATAAGTAAATATAAATACGTTAAGATATGGTCAATTAAAAATTGCCACAGAAGAAGACGATGTAATTGTTTTTGTCTAACGTTTGACGCTACAAATCAATTTTAATGTATTTTCTAATATGCGAATATATATATATATATACGGTTAAAGTATACTGTACAAATTAAATAGATTTTATATCGATATTACTGTATTACAAATTATGCACAACCGTGCTACGACAACAAATTGGAAATTTTTATGAGTTTGGTGAGAATTCCTTTTCAATATGTATAAAATTTTAATGTAACCCTTTTTTAAACCATCCTTTTATAAATAGCGATTTCTTTTGGTCTGAGGATTTTTATTATTTTTATTATTTTTTTAAAAAATATAAAAAATATTAATTTTTTAAGCGGGTAATAAATATAAAAATACTTAAACACTTCACTCTCTATAGATCCCGCTTTCTCTTGGCCTTTCTCTTATTCTTATATATTTTTTTTTCGTTTTTTTTTTTAGACGTATAATATACCTTAATATATATTTATTTATAAATCTTTTATTTATTTATAATCATACACTATGATGGCGTTTCAAGATGAATGGCCTTTAAAAACCAAAGACGGGGTTATAATAACAATGGAACAAATGCCGATTGAACTAAGGAACAAAATTGCAAAGTTAAATCGACAGGATTTGTTTCCACCAAAATTTGGCATAAATGAGATTGAAAAACCAGAATATAATCCTGATGGCACCTTAAAAGAGAAACGATGGATGAACTCCTTTATGGTCTTCAGGAGAGTTTTGGGACTATTTTACAAAGATTCAAATACAGTTTTCAACGGAACGGAACTTTCACAGCTTGCACAATTAATATGGCACGGAGCCTCCGTTGATGAGAAGAAAATCTATACAGGAATTTCTGCCAACCTGAAGAAAAGAACCTACAACTTGAATCCTAATTTTGTATTTCGTAAGGCTCAAAAGCCTGTTGATGAGTACATAAATTACGGACCTGAAACCTTTGAAAAAAAAGGTAAAAGAAAACATGAAGATGATGATTATGGCCAAAGGAACAAGAAGCGCACAAGTAAAAAAGATACAGAGTCAACAAATGTTGCCTCTAATGTATCAGACAATGAATTTATATCAAATACTTCAAATGTGAATGTGGTATCAAATACTTCAAATGTGGTATCAAATACTTCAAATGTGATATCAAATACTTCAAATGTGATATCAAATATTTCAAATGTGGATTTTATAACAAATTCAAATCCCATTACACCCAATATGGATTCCATTACCTCCAGTATGGATTCCATTACTTCCAATACGGATTCCGTTACCTCGATGACTCCAAATACGGATTCCACTCTTTCAAATCTTATTTCAAATATAGATTCAATTATATCCAATCTAGATCCGAACGAACAATGGTTTCCATACAACGGACAGGAATTTAATGACGGAGGACAGTATCTACAAAATAATATATCCAATACTGATTCCACTGCTGATGCGGCATTATGGTCTCAAAGTTTTGAAGCTACCGTGGATCCATTTTCCGAAAACGCTTTATATCCAGGTGCAATAATGTGGGGCCAAAATGGAATGAACTTTTTCACAACTTACGAAACTCAGGGTTCTTGCGAGTTCCCAGGTTTAGAAGGAGATTTTGACAACGAATGCTGTGAAATTACAGAATTAAAAACTTTTAATACTGGTTATTATTAGTCGGAATAGTAATTGTACAGTATTATAGATTTCATATTTGTAGATAATTTTTCATCGTTTGCATTTTTTTTTTTTTTTTTTACGTAATAGTTTATATCGTCACTTTTGTTAATCCACCCAAAAGCTTTTGTTTTGGCTATTTTTTATAGCCATTTTACCGATTTTTTTTTCTCGTTTATTGTTTCGATAGCACAAGACACGTAACATAGCAACATAATTCGATCCGTTTAAAATCGATTATTTAATTTTTAAAAACGAAGGTTAACACGCGAATACCTTAAATGTATATGGACATGGCATGATAATAAAAAAAAACACTTTGTTTTAAATTTGTTTAATTCATAAATTCATAAAAAATTTAAAAGTTATTAAATAACAAGTGCGAAAAAACGAAAAGGAAATTTTAGAAATTTTGTTCATGTATTTATTAATGCTTTCGAACTTAGTTTTTTTCATTTAATGCTAAGATGTCTATGTTATATCAAAAGATCATCTTGATAAAAAACAACACGTTTAGGTATTACAAAAGGCGCTTCGGAGTCTTAAATCCGTACAGATAAACATTAGTCTTGTACACATTTGCTACTTTCCTTCTATATTCAGTATAACGCATATATATAAACAAAAAAATCATATCATCGTTTGTTATCACTGACCAATCAATGAGAATTATGTATGTATCCGAATTATATGCAAGATAAGGCAACCTGTCTTCAACAACTCACGTGAAATAATATAGTGAAACGTGATGTTCCGTCAGATGACGTTAGCTGTTAGTATAACAAAGAATTAAAAGATATTACAAGATTAAAGTTTTCTTTGTAGAGCTTTGCTTTTTATTCTACTTTATTTATCAACTCTTTGTTCTTTTTATAACATTATGTTGATACTAAGTCACAGGTTCATTGTTTACGGGAAGCTTTAGTTTTGAAAATTTTTTTTTTCTTTCTTTTGATAAATTTTGTATATCAAGATATTTTAACACGCGCTGTTCTTATTACTGCGTGTTCTTGTTACTGCGTATGTTCTTGTTACTGCGTATGTTCTTGTTACTGCGTATGCTTCAAATATTAAAGCCACATTAAAACGTAAGTACGTATATACATACATATGAAGCTAAGTTTGGAGAAAAATTAAATCTTGACAAATTGAGACATGAAGTTCAAAATTTCCCGGTGTTTGTTTATGATTAATAAATAACGCCTTAAACAAAAAAAAAAAAAAAAAAAAAAAAAAAAAAAAAAGATCGCTAACCCAATTGTAATCCCGATTGTAAACTCAATTGTAAACTCAATTGTAAACTCAATTGTAATACGTATTTAATTATCTCTGTGTTTCATTCTCAAAATGTTTTTTTCTGTACATTTATCTCATTAATATTTGTTATTCAATAAATATGCACAAGGACACGTGGTGTGTAAAATGACCTTCAAAGTATGCAATTCTGCATCAACATAGAAGTCATGTTTACATTTGCATATCCTGTATTATTGAGTTCAAAGAATCTTTATCAATGCATGTTATATAATATATAGTATACATAATATATAATTTTTTTTTACAAATATTATGAGGAAAAATAATAAACAAATATGTTGCAGATATTCTCGCGTCTCTCATGACCCTATTGATCATATGTACTAAGCATGTCGCTATTCACCGTTATCATGTATTCCAATACTTAAAGTCACAAGGTATAGATAAGTTTCATTTTGGGAATTTTTTAGAGTATAAATTAATTTGATATCAAATATCACACGCTTTTCATGAGGTTTTATCTTATGTAGTTGCGCGTCTTTTTCCTTAAACAGTTGTAATCTTTACTAATTAATGAGAACAATGCGAAACTAAAAATAAATGAGTGGATTGAATGTAGAAAATAAACAACCATCATTATAATCATTATCTTTTTTTTTTTTTTAGAAATGTAAAGTTATTGCTGTAATGCAGTAATTCCAGGTTACATAATCCCCCGATGATCCTCATTGTCTAAATTAATCTTATTAATGAGATAATGTAAGTAGATGGTTCAATCGGGTTATAGAATTTTAGCACGTGTATATTTGTTATCAATTATAAAAATAAGTTGTCATATCGATATACGTATGTACGTACGCGACTTTTCATGTTAAAACCGATTAAAAATAAATACGTCTATTTATATGCTTTGTTATTAAAAATTTAAGGTCTTTGAGTGCTAAAGATTTTTTTATTTAGAACATCAGACATCAATCACTTTGTAAATTATATGTTTATATGTTTAGTAAACTTTTTTTTTTTTTCTTTTATTTATTTATTTGTTTTCATGTTATAAGAAAGATCCTATTCGCACGGTAAAAGGTGGCATACATATTGACTTATACTACATGAATTGTCCAAAAAATTCAATAATAATCCTAATAATCCTAATAATCCTAAAAATCCTAAAAATCCTAAAAATCCTAATATTTCGTAAATTCGCATACAATTGCTCTTATACTACATATACTACATAAAATTGCCCTAAAAAAAAAAAAATAAAAAAATAAAAATTCAAAAAAAAACCTATCAAACTATATATACGTATCAAGTTATAATTATTAAAAAGAATTTTGGTTATTCCTCGTTACTACATAAAATGTCCAAAAAAAGATTATCAAACCATCAGCTTCAATTAAAGCTATTCTTCAAGCACGTACATATGTGCGTATGCACGTACGTGTATGCCAAGGCTGGTCAAGTTTAGGTTAGAAGCATAAACTGTAATCTAAACTTGTAATTTTGGAGGTATGTTCCAACCTCCAGCGCATACATAGATTGTTAACGCTTAGATGGGTGATAATCCCTACGTATACCTAAATTATCGTTATCCTAATTATCGTTATAGAAAAAAAACCCCCAAAAATATGTAAATAATAAATTTAAGTACTGCAGAATGAAAACTTGTAACTGATCATAATGATTTACTTATGGTCAGTTATGATCATAATGATCATAATGATTTACTTATGGTCAGTTATGATCATAATGATTTACTTATGGTCAGTTATGATCATAATGATTTACTTATGGTCAGTTACAAGTTTTTACTCCGCAGCGCTTAATTTAAAATGTTTTTGCTAGCCGCTTGCACCGCTTGCAGCATCAAAATTAAATAATGAATCAAATTCTATGTTATTAATGAAATAATGATAAGATAACATAGTGTCGTTGTTAGACTCAGAGTATAAATCGTTGATAGAATTATAAATATGATAAGGTTGAGCATTCTCTGCATCATTTGTAACTTCGTTACCAACCAAAGAAACGGGTTCTTCAAAAAAGCGACCGTCAAATAAGTAGTCCGAGTCTATTAAATTACTTTCTTGTTGAGGGACAACCGAAACGATCGAAGGTCTTTGTTCTTCGACAGGTTGTTTTACATCATCTTTTGAGGAATTTTCTACAGGCTCTAGAGGAACCAGTCCTATGTTTGAAGATGTTCCCGTAAGATTAATGAAGGGATCTTGCGGTTTTTTCATGGTAGGCGTGTATGAGTAAGTAGGAAATTTCTTTTTATGAAGTTTCTTTACGTGATTGGCAATTTTTTCAAATGGTTCTTTCTCAAAGCTTGTTGCATCATTCCAAAATCTAGATGCAGCACGAGTGATTTCTCTCATACGATATTTATTGGGAGTGTTTTTTGAAGTCGAGGTGGTCATAACCCTAGTCGAGGTGGTTATAACCTTTTTAAAGTTTTTTTTAAATACCATAAACTTGTTTAAAGGTCTTTTAATTCTTTTATTGCCTGGCCTTGAAAGTGATGAAGCAATCAAATCATCGAGGACTTCTTCTGCTGTCACAATAGGATTATATATTTCATTTTTAGAGATGCCAAACAGAGCATCTTCGATGGCCTCGATTTTAGGCGGTTCGTTCGTTTTTTGAACATGTGCTTGACCAGAAATATTAGAAATATTAGAAATATTAGAAATATTAGAAATATAAGAAATATTAGAAATATTAGGAATATTAGGAATATTAAGGGAATTGTTATTAAACATTACGACGGAATTTTTGGGATTATCTTTTTTACTCTGAGTTTGAATAAAAATGTTGTTGAATTCAATGGGAACGTTCATATTGAAAATATTGAGATGAATGATATTGATTTCTTTTTTTTTTTTGTATCCGGATTTTTTGAGAAATCTTATGTCTATATATATACGTATCACGCACTGATTTAGTGGTATATATATAAATTAAGGTATATAATAATTTATATATCGATATCGATATTATTTGTTTAAAGTGATGTTTATACGTAAATATATAAATATATACATTATATATTTTTGTTCTACATAACTATGCAAAATATGCAAATCTTACCGAGCTACTTTGTTAAAAGTGTAATCGGTAAATAAAATTAAAGTATATATTATTAAAAATCTTTATAATATAAATTGAATTAAAAAAATATATATTATACTATATAATATCAATATTTATTAAATGATATTTGTAATATTTTACGTATACTTTAAGGGTTATCTAGATATCACTGAGATGTGTCGGTATGCGTACTAAAGATAGTTAAGCTTTATATGGCTATATGTGCACAAATTATAGTATGCACTTACGTACGTACGTACGTGCGTAGCATATCAGATATACTGCGCCCAGTGCATAATGAAGTCTAGAATCATAACATTGAGTATAAGGAGACAATCATTATTTATCGTATACAAAGAATTTTCTAATTAGATCAATCGAGGAAAAAATAGGCAGGGCTTTGAAACATAGTTTGCAACAGGAAATTAAAGTCGTAAATTAAACGTTAAGCAATAAATTAAGCAGTAAATTAAGCAGGTAATTAAGCAGGTTATTACAGGATTATGCAAAAATTAAAACTCTGGAATAAATGATAACTAAAAATCGGACCCTTGCAAGTTAATTTACGAATTTTCAATGCTTATATAAGGAATTATTCAGATTACTCATCATGAAACTATATATTATTAATATATATAGCTCGGAGACACTGAGTGTTTTATCAAAAAATGGAAACTGATAAATATAATCAATAAATTATCGACGAGGGCTTTTTTTTTGTTTTTTTTTTTAAGCAAAAACAAGAAACAATAATGTTCATCTCACATGTCGATGATCAAAAATATTACTCATCATCTGTCACAACATTTAAACATCAATGCAATGATGTTTCTTGAATTACAGCGCAGAGACTAATGTGTAGATCAAGAAAAATAATAAATGTTTGATTCTTATTGCATAATGCTTAACAATTTTTTATTTTGATTTTTTGTATTTAATTGAATTATACCACAGTAAAATTCTTGTACGTATTATATATTCGGAACTATTTCGTATATCGTTGGTATATATTTTTTTCTATTGGTTCTGCGCAGACTACCGATTTCTCCTATTCGGCAGATTATGCAGATCTATTGAGAATTTTGAGAATTTTGAGAATTTTGAGAATTTTGCGAATCTATTAAGAATTTCTTTGTATAAAAAATCCATTAAATAATTAGTTAAAAAATTAGTTAAAAAATTAGTCAAATAATTAATTAAAAAATTAGTTAAAAAATTTAAGTAAAAAATTAGTTAAATAATAATTATACATAGCATATATATAATATGTATGTATATTACAATTACGATTGGTAAGATATATCGTACGATAATACCGATAATATCGACAATACCAAGAGTTAATATATATAATATTTTTCAAATATATGCGATACATGCGTATCCTATTGGAATAACCAATTAAATTTGAGGCGTTTTATCTTTTCCTTTCATGATGACAATTTAAAGTTGGTTTGCGCCTCTGTGAAAAAATAGGTGAGATTTTTTTTTTTATTGGTGCTTAAAAGTTGGTAAATGCTTAGGAAATTCAATTGGAGAAACAAACAAATGCTAAATGTAACACTTATGATGAAATATGATATACATACATACATACATACATACATACATACATACATACATACATACATACGTGAATTACACACACATCATTACATTAACTACAGTAATTACAACAATTACAGTAGATTTAGAGATATTGTGTAGTTATGAATTTATAATTAATTCATGAATATAGAAACGTTTGTTAGACAAAAAAATTTACATACATACTCGCATGATCAATTTTTTACAAAAATTCAATTTGTCACAAGTCATCACAAGTTGTTCAAAGTAACAAATTAATTTTCTTCTTTGTTCTCATTATGCGTAAAAAAAAATTCAAACAAATCGTCATCATTAAGACTAATAAAGTGATATAATAATCATTGATACCCATTTCAAGACTTGAAAAAATTATTCAGATTCCAGGGAAAAGATTCTTTGATAAATATTTCGTAATAAATATTTTCAAAATGTGACCTTGGGTAACATAAGTTAATAAAGAAATTTAATCCTGTTATAGATTGATATAGATTGAGAAACCTTAACCAAAATATAATCATAATACATTCAGGAAATATTTAGCAAAATGT